GGTGATTGTGATGGTGATATGGTGAATGGTGGTTAGGGATTGTGGTGGTCATGATGATAGTGGTGATGATGATAGTGGTGATGGTGATGATGTTGATGTTGATAATGATGATAATGGCGGTGATGGTGGTGATGATGGTGAATGGTGGTTATAGGAATATGGAGGTCATGGTAATGGTGGTGATGATCATGGTAATAGTGGTGATGGTGGTGATGGTGGTGATGATGATGGTGGTGGGGGTGGTGGTGCTGGTGGTGGTGATGGTCACAATCATGAGAATAACAATAAGAACTATCATGTACTAATTCAGCCAAGACCCCTTGATTTTCCTGCACCCTCTCATGCAATCAAAGACGCAGAAGAGATCGTCACCCCCAGCCCACTGCTTAGGAGACTAAGCACCGTCATAGAATTGTGAAATGGCCAAATCACACAGCTAATAGGCAGCAGAGCCAGAATCTGAACCCAAGTTTGTCAGACCCCAGGTTCTGAGCTGTTAGCAGATGACGAAGGACCAGGAAGGAGAAAGCAGCTGGGCGCGGTGGCCTGTGCCTGTCGTCCCAGTGGCTCGGGAGGCTGAGGCAGGAGGATCACGAGTTCAAAGCCAGCCTCAGCAACTTAGTGAGGCCCTAAACAACTCAGTGAGACCCTGTCTCTAAATAAAACACAAAATAGACCTGGGGATGGGGCTCAGTGGTCGAGTGCCCCTGAGTTCAATCCCCAGAATCAAAAAAATAATAAAAAACAAAAATCAAAGGAGAAAGCAGTGAAGCGGGTGGTCTTGGTTCCGACCCTGTTCAAGGTGGCAACTGCCCCCCCCCGCCCAGAAAGCAACGGTGGACCCCTTCACCTGCTCATTCGAACACACTGCCTCAGGTGTAGACAGATCCCGGTAATCATCTACCAGTTGTCCCCTCCCCTCGGGGACACAAGCACCCTAGGAACACATCTGTACACGCATGTGCAGAGCTTAGCACGTGCCTCACGAGAAGCCTTCTGCACACTGAGTTATGGACCTTTCTGGTTTCAAGACACTGGGGCGTGATGAGGAAAGGATCGGATGCCCTGACGGGTCCCCTGAGCTTGCCAAGTGACTATTCTTTGGTGTCATTTTGGCAAGGCTGGTCTAACAAACCAGGAGAAGGAACAAAAAGGTAAGACTCCTTACCTTTGGGGCTCCTTGGCACTGGGAAATAAGGTTCCCCAGAACCCAAGGACAAACTCAAGATTACTGACATCTCTAGTCTCTAACAGGAGAGAGAGAGAGACAGACAGATGGACAGACAGACAGACAGATGGACAGACAGACTGACTACCCACACTTGGCCCAGTGCAGGCAGCCTGGCCTCCCTTAAGTGACCCTTCGGTCACTTAACAGACATGCACAGAGCGCTGGGATGCACCCCCATGTGCCAGAGTTTAAGACCTCTGACCCCATCGCCCCAGCTCCGGGTGGACAGCAGGCATCCAAGAGTAGTAGCACATGACCCTCAGGTCATAAGCTGGTGGGAAAGATCCTAGTTTAAGACAACATTTTTAGTTAGGGCAGAGGACAGGAAACGGATGGAACCGTCCAGTTCCTGAGAAGGTTGGAAGCTTCAAGGAACTGAGTATAATAAGGGAGGGAAGAAGAGATGGATCCTTCCAGGGTGGCCCGCTGCTGCCCTCTGGTGGAGACTCATGGCAAGGGCATCCTGCTGCTGTCTGGCACTTGAAACTCCAGGTGGGAGAGGTAAGGTGAGTGAGGGGGGTGCAACAGGGGGTGCACTTGTGTCCCCGAGGGGAGGGGACAACAGGGGTGTTGGAAGGCAGGTCACAGGCAGGTGAGGAACTAGACAAGGAAACAGCCACAGGTATGGTCAGTTGGTGCTGGGAGCATTCATTCAGGAAGGAAGGAACAGAGGCCTTGGGGCAGATGTGTGCCCAGTATGTTGAGGGGGACCAAGGAGGCCCGGGCAGCTGGAATGATATACACAGGCTGAGGCCAGCAGGGGCTGAGGCTGCAGAGGTGACCAGGGGCTCAGTGGTGCAGACCTTGTGGGTCCCTGGATGTATGTAGCCTGGGGCATAATGGTCCCCTCGTGTGAAGGTCCAGGAAGGGCCCTGTGGGGGATCTGGGGCTGGGCCTGAGGATGAGCAGGACACAGATGAGGATAAGGACCAAAATATTTACTGAGCACCCCCTGTACGCTAGACACGGACCTCTCACCCTGAGAGCAAAAGTGCCGGCAGCAAACAGGTAAAGGAGCCGCCCTCCAGCAGAGCCCTCCGGCAGCTGACAGACGGAGCCCTGAAGAACAAAGCCACTCCTCAAAAAGGTCGAAATCAAAACGTGCCTAAGTGGCACCGCTACCGAGAGCAAGAGCAGAGGTGACATTTGACAAGGAGACTCAGAGCCCAGGGACAGTCCTTTCCCATCCAGTCTGAGTGAGGCTGGCCTCAGCCCTAAGTGCCACAAGAATTGGGGAGAACAAGGTCAGTGCTTTTGAGGACCCAGGTCCTGGCTCCGAGGCTGGCCTCTAAGCAGGGCTTGGAACACTGACCCTTCACTGCCTCAGAGGGGCAGGAGGGGGCCGAGGCGGAGGCAGCAGGATCAGTTAGATCAGTGTCTCTTCAAACCATGTGAAATCAGAGTGGCAGCTCATGGCAAAGGATAGGCAATAAAATTTGACAAAGGATATGCAATGAAAGGAAAGAATCCAAAACATCCCATATGCAAGTCAGGGCAGGCATTGCATCTGGAAACACACCCAGTGGAGTACAGGTACATACATGTGGAGGATGGGGCTGGAATATAGATCTTTACACACACACACACACACACACATATATATATATTGGCTGCACAGCTTGATCCAAAAAGGGTGCAAAGAAGTTGATGAGAGGGCGTCCCAAGGTCTCATCCTGCCTAGATGTCACTGAAGATGAGTGTTCTTTCCTCCGAGAGCTGGCAAAAGCCTGTCTCTGGCAGAACGGGAGCCCAGCTCTGCTTTTAGGGACTTTGCCAAACTCCACAGCATGACTCTGGTGAGAATCTCAAACTCGGAAAAAGCAACGAAGAAGCTAATAACCTTCGATGCTCGCGGTCGTGCGTTCCGGGAGGCGGGGGGCAGGGAAGAGGGACTCGCATCCAGAAGCCCGAATGTTCTGGAAAGCAAGATGGCAACCGTAGCCAGAAGCTTAAAATACATACATCTTTGCTGCAAGACCTCACTCCTCTGAACTCACTCTCCAAAAACCAGCCAGAGCTATGCTGCAGATGGCGCCGCTTAGGATAGGGAAAATGTGCATGCGACCTACATTTCCCAAGACACTTCCTGGTCGAATTCGGGGTGCTAGTGTTCAGGCAAAGTGGGAGGAAATGCATTTACGGACAAAGGAAGATGACTGTGATGTAACATTGAAGGTCCCTGCGGTTTCTTAGAAGAGAGGGAACTACCTGAGGCTTCTCGGCTTCTCGCCACAGGTGGAGGCGGGAGTCACCTTGGAGCAGGTCACTATGCACGGAGAGGCGCCTCTTCACCATGCTGATGGTCAACAGCATGGGGCCAGAGGTACCTAACAAAAGGACCAGATGGAGAGTCGGCGGGGGGGACCTCTGCCTTCCAGGGGACATCTGGAAAGAGCTGGAGACATTGCTACTTGTCATGACGGGAGTCCAAGGGGGACATTACTGGTATGTGCTGGGAAGAGATCAGGGATGCTGCTGACTAGCATCCTCCATCCCACAGCACAGCTCTCAACCGATGGGTTGGATGCTCACCATAGCCTGGATCAGGACCTGCTGGCAAGACAGACAGCTAAAGGGCGTGTGCAGGGCATCTGGGCCCAGGACCTGTTTCCTTTTGCTCTGTTTGGTTCAGTTCTGGATCCCGCCCCATTTCCGGTACATAAGAGTCCCTCAATAAACACCGGCAGGTTGCATGTTGAATCCCACAAGAGCGTCTGTGACCAAGTGGCCATCAGATGCAGCAGGACTGGTGTTCAACAGTGACACCTTGTGGTGAGAACCAGAACGACAGCACTGGAGGCCAATAATCCTTTTCTCTGTCTGGTATTTGCAGACCTGACCCCTGGGAACTAAAGAGCCCCAGATAGGAGAGAAAACAATAAGAGACTGATAATTGATGTTATGTTAATAAAGACAAACAGGTGTCCAGCCAATTAACTGGAAAGATCCAGGAGAGATGACCATGTATTTGGACCCTAAACTGCTAAGACAAGTCACAGAAGTTATATATATATATACACATACATATATATATATATATACATACACATATATATATATACATATATATATAATTTCAAAATACTATGTATAAATAATCTCAATCCTAATGTTTAAAGAAAGTATATACACAAATCCATTTGTTAGGAAGAATTATACCAAAAAAATCACACCAAAATGATGTCAGGTCCCTACAGGATGGGACCCCAGGTGTTACATTCTGGTTTATGTTACAATGAATACACGGCATATATGTAAGAAAATAAGAAGCTAGACAGGGCTGGGATGGTGGCTCAGTGGGATAGCACTTGCCTAGCATGTCTGAGGCTCTGGGTTCAATTCTCAGCAGCACATAAAAATAAATGAATAAAATAAAGGTCCATCAACAACTAAAAAAATATACATATTTAAAAAAAAAAAAAAGAAGAAGAAGAAGCAGCAGCAGCTAGACAATGACCCAAAATACAGTGGCACTTAAGAATATCCAAGTGGCACTTAAGAATATCCAAGATAAAAAGACCCTGGTCTCCTATGCCTAGTAGGTATTTCCAGAACCAGACGCCTTATAACCCCAGCAGGCTCAAGTTCAAACTCAAGAACCGCTGGTCCACTTCTCCCAGCCTCCAAATCGCAGGCGCATCTCTGCTGGCTCCAGGGTGGACCGTCTGGTCGCGGCCTGCGCAGGGATCTGGAGAGAGGGATGGAGCAGCCGCCCTGGGAGCCGCTCCACACACCCCCTGCGCGGTGTGCACCCCCCTGCGCCGCTCACCTGACGTGTGCACGTTCCTGAGGCAGGAGAGCGAGGCGTTGAGGCGGGCGCACTCCTCCCGGTTGGCTCCATACTTCTCCACCGTCTCACACACCTGCTCCTCCGTCATCTCCAGGAGGTCCTCCAGGCTCAGCTGACCCGGGGAGATTTCCTAGAGGCGAGGACAGACAACCGTCAGCTGGGTCTCAAGCGCCCTGAGACTCAGCAGCGCACCCAGGGCCTCCACGCTGCCCCCTAGGGGTGCCTGGTGCAAATGCTTCGCTGAGATCTGGGAATCCGGGGTCAGAGGGGCCTGGGTTTGAATCTCGGGTTTGCCACTCATTACTGAGATAACCTCAGACAAGTTCCTCAACCTCTCTGGGCCTCACTTTTATCACCTATAAAATGGGATCCCAAGTGCACACACTGGGTAAGCTCCCTCTATGCTTCATATACCGTCAGCATCGCACAGGAGCAATGGTTGATTATCTGTCTTCTGAACTCTCATGAAGCAAGGCCCCATTTTGTTCCTCTGTCCATGTCCCTCGTTGCCTCCTGCTGGACTTGGACTGCAGGAACTCCACCAAATCCCACGAGAACTCAGAACAAGCCCCCGCCGAGCTGCCCCCTACTCTCACCATCCTCTCCACCCCAGCCACGGGTCTTGGGGAGAAAAGCGGCTAGAAGTCCGTGGACAGCCCAGGGCTGGTGTTTGAGCACCATGGAGCAGGGCTTTGCATCCCGTGGCCCAGTGGTAAGGCTGAGGAATCGTGGGGTGCAGGAAGGGGAACCTCTGAACATATGGGTTGGCCACAGAAATGTGATGGGAGGCGTCCCCTCTGCAATCAGCAACCCCCCCCAAACCCTGTACAAATACATCTCAAAATTGTCAAACCTCTGCATCTACACATCTCTGAGTATGTGCATGTGCATGTGCATGTGCCTTCATTTATAGCATTTAATGGTAGCCAATGGCTTTACACATTATTATTTAAATAAGATCTTTAAGTCTGTGGATGCCAGGGCAATATTGAAGACTCTTTCTGCCCTCTTGTGGCCACACCTGTGTATTACAGCAAAATACAAATTTTTCACATGAAACTGGGGAATTGCAAGATCCGCCCCCACCACCACCCCTCACCTCTACTCCACCTCCCAAAAAAAACCTGCAGAGCAAAAGTCAAAGACCAAGCCATGCCTTTCCGGCCACTGTGGTGGACTAGGGGACACAGAAAGAACAATAACTTGGAAGCTTTCTCAAATAGAGGCACATTGCAGGTAAGCCCGACTTCAACACAGGGGAGGACCTGGGGTCTACAGGCCCGGGATGGATCACAGCAGAGAAGATGACCCACAACACAAAAAGAGTCCTCCTCTCCACCACGGGGCTCACTTGTGCACTTTTACCCCACGATTTAAAAATATATGTATATTCAATATGCACTGAAATTTAGAATCACAAAAAAAAAGAAAAAGCATAAAATATTTTTTCTGACACTTAACAGGAAGAAAGTCTTAAGGAACCTGGGCCAAGAGAGTTTGAGGAGGATCATGATGATAATAATAATAGCAGCTGGGAGGGTGGAGTACCGTTTGAGGTACTTTGCATGGATTTCTTTTCATGTCACAAATATGGGTCTCTTATAATCACCATTTACAGACTGGGCTGCTAAAACGCAGAGAAGTTAGACCACTCGCCCAAGGTCACACAGTGAGTGAGAGGTGGATTCAAGAGTTGAACTGGGGTCATCTAACTACAATGCTTTCTCCTAAGGCCCATCTTGCACCTGAAGGGGACCTCTGGTGGACACACGCATGAACTGCAGGCAGAGAGCCGAACTTCAGCTCCCCCGCAGCCCCTGCCTGGGACCCTGGACTGGGCTGATCAGGGCCAAGGCGGAAATGAGTTAGGTAAATGGCCAGGAGCAAAACCTGGAGCTGGAGTGAGCCTCAGGGACCCAGGGGGTCGGAGATCAAGGGAGCACCAATTATATCAGACAAACAAAAAGTGCCTGCCCATCTGGCTGGAGGGTCATTGGGCAAGATCGGGTGGGGAAGGGGTGAGGAATTCGGGGTGCTACATGGAACTGCTAGCCGAAGGGGACAAGGTCTAAAACAAAGCTCCCTCCAGCAGGAAGTGAGGAGATCCTGGAGATGGGCCCATGGCAGGGGGACGCCCTCTTCTGCTCAGCTCAGGGAGGCTACAGCAGAAAGCATAGTGGGTCCCCACTAAGATACCACAACCGTCTGAGCTTGATTCTCCTGGCAGCCCCGCCCACTCGCTGGCTGGACACCTCACCTCACCTCTGAGCCTCAGTTTCTCACTCTGTACAATGGGGACAATGTCCATACCTACTCCAAAGGTCACTGAGAGGAGTCTGAATAGTCTCAACAGATGAGATTCTTCCTGCAAAGCCCTTAGGATGATCCTGGCACTGAAGATTCAGGGGCGTGAGCTGGTTTATTAGGAATGACCCGTCCCTGGAGACGGGATCCCAGAAGGTAAAGAACCGTCTCTGTTCTTGAGAGCTTAAGGAAGCCCAGCCTTGACAGTGGACACAGAGCATCAAGTGCTGGCTTGGTTTTGCCATTGGAAACCCCCATATCCAAAGTTTTCAATAACAATAACCAAAAGCTAAAATTGACTGGGTGCATTCAGGTGCCAGGCCGTGAGCGGAATACTCTACCCAGGTCACCTCCCTTCATCATGCCAGATACTTAAGAAGGGGCGATGGTGACCCCCATTTAACAGACGGGGAGACAAATGCTCTATGAGTGGGCTATCCCATATGGCGGCCCCTGGCCACACGAAGATGAAGCCCAGCAAAACTTCAGTTCCTCGGTCACATGCGTTGACCACCACTCAGGGCCCAGTAGGCGCAGTGGCTGGTGGCCGTGGCCTCAGACAGCACCGAGCAAACTGTCTCCATCACAGCAGCAAATTCCAGGGGACAGGGCTGGGCTCCAGGTCATGGGACTTGGCTGAAGTGACTCTGTAGTAAGTGGCATCCTGCTCAGACAGGAGAGACCGGGCGCCTTCCTCCGGTGCACATGTATTGAGGGCCCACTACCTACTAGGGACGGTGCTAAAGCTCTGCCACCCAAGGAGCAGCAGAAGGGTGGCTCTGGGCAGTTGGGGCAGGGACCCAGGGCTGCCCCCGTCACCTCCAGGACTTCCTCGCGCACGTCGACGATCCGGAACCAGTGCCGGAGCCGGGGGAAGCCGTCCAGCTCCGCGCTGCGTTCCTGCAGAGCCACCTTCTTCTTACAGGACAGCTGCCGGCTGAAGTACTTCACCAGCTTGCTCTGCAGAGACACAGGAGGACAAGGACAGGTCTCAGAGGCACCGTAGGAGGAGCAGAGGGGGGAACTCCCCCACCCAAACCTGTCAATCTGCAATTCAGGGACTTCGGCCCAGCTACCATGAGATCCAGCCCTCCACCTGCTACCAAGTGGAGACAGTGTTTGAGTGTGTGCCCCAACGTCCCATAGGCCAGAAGTTTGGTCCCCAGTGTCATGATGCTGAGAGGTGCTGGCTCTTTAAGAGGTGGGACCTGGTACAAGGTCATGAGGTCGTGAGACCATCACCTTCAGAAGGGATTCATGTCTACAGAGGACCAAGTTAGCTCTCTCAAGAGTGGGTTGTTACGAAGCTAGGCCACCTCATATGTTTGGTCCCTTCTGCACGTGGCTGGTTCCCTTTCCACTTTGCCATGTGATGAGGGAGCCAGCATGATGCCGTTTGGACCCTCTGGCCACCACAGTCATGAGCCAAATAAACTTCTTTTCTTTATAAAGTATCCAGCCTCTGGTATTTTATTATAGCAACACACAAAGTACCAAGATAGCACCCATCCCCCCACCATGTGGGTGATGATGGGCAAAGAGGAAGACTCTTTTTTTGCGGGGGGGGGGGGGGGGGGGGGGGGGGGGGGTGGGCACTGGCATGGCCTTTGGTTGGAGGCCTTTCAGCTGTATCCACTCCCATTTCAATGGCACATGGTCTTTGACCCCACACACCCACTTCTAGAAACTCATTCTGCAGACATCCACCCTGCACAAAATAGGTGTGTCCGTGAAAAAAAAAAAAAACTGGTTTTTTACAGTTCTGCTTGCAAAGGCAAAAGGCCGCAGACACTCTGAGGATTCATCCGGAGGAAACTCATCAGATGCTACCACCACCCCAAAGAACTCTATGCAGCTATAAAATAGGTTTCCAAGGTACACTGATAAATAAAAATAAATCCGTGGAAAGTGTGTCTACAATGTATCTTTGTACATGCAGCGTCTGTCTCTGGGAGGATTCCTGCTCCTCCAGGAAGGGGGAGGGAGGGTGGGAATAGAGATGGGAGACTTTTGTGGGTGTGCCCTCCTAAGTCATTCCCGAGTAGTCACAAGTTAACAACTGCTTTTAAAATGAGCTGGGCCTGAACCCACGTCTCTGGCAGAGTGCCCAGACATGCCAAAGGAGAACTTTCCATGGCTAGTTTTATAAAAACCAACACGAACAAGAGAAAGGCAATACACATGGGCCCAAGCAGAGGGAAAAAAAATGTGGAAGAATAAACTCCAAGCTTCTGAATTAGGATGGGGAGACTCTTATAATGGGGGGAGCAGAAAATGGTCACGTGTTTCTTCTAGTTTGGGGGGGGGTCCCAGGGATTGAACCCAGGGGCACTTGACCCCTGAGGCAGGCTCTCCCTGAGTTGCTTAGTACTTTGCCATTCCTGAGGCTGGCTTTGAACTCATGATCCTCCTGCCTCAGCCTCCCGAGCTGCTGGGATGACAGGCGTGCGCCACCGCGCTCCACGGTCATGTGTTTCTTTATGTATAGTTTTTGCATTATTTTAATAATGGCTCAGAGTATATTATCTGTGTGATTTTAAACATATTTGATAAAGATAATTAAATGAGACAAAATTAAAACCCTTGGGTATGCAGAAGCCTGTGGCATTTCAAAGCAAGCAACATTCATCAGGAAGATGGTTCTGGAACTCTAGGATCCCAAGATCCACAGCACGGGGTGACAGTAGCGGGTGTCCCCACACTGGTCTCCATTCTCCCTTTTCATGAAAAGAATGTTCCCAATTTGTTGTGGGGGAACCTCTCTTCTTGGCCTCTCAGTCCCTCTGGCCCAGAGGAGTGTGGTCCCCACCACCACCAGGCTGCAGGTGGGCATATGTCCCAGGCCTGGATGGAGCGTGACAATGACCCAGCTGAGCCACTGAGAACCATCCCAGGAGCTCTCCTGCGCACCCAGGATGCAGCCTTCGCTCTCTAGCGGGTAAGCGTGGTGAAAGAGGGCTGCCTGGCCACCCACCTCCCGCAGCAGGAGGCACTGTGTGGTTGTGATTCAGCTGAGGATCTGGTGGGTGATGCCCACTCACAAGAAGAAATCAGGAGAGGTGTCCCTGATCACGTCCATTAGCTGGGCCCAGAGTGACCAATTGAATAATTGGCACCAATTTGTTGCTGTTGTTGTTGGGTTTCCGTCACTAAGCCTCCTGCCTCGTGGGGGAGTGGAAGGGCATCTGGTCCCCTGTCCTAAGACAGTCTTGACATTCAGGTGTATTGGTCTCCTCGGCTGCTGTAACCAATGGCCACAAACTTAGGGGCTTCAGACAACACATATCTGTCATCCAGCACTACTGGGGGTCAGAAGTCCAAAATCAGCCTCACTGAGCTAAAATCGAGGTGTCAGCAGGGCCCCGTGCCTCCCAGGCTTCTGGAGAGAATCCATGCCCTGCTTTCTCAGCTTGTAAAGAGGGCCCCATTCCTGGGCTCCTGGCCCTTTCCTCTTGTCACTCAACTCTTGATGCTGTTGTCACCTCTCCTAGTACGGACTCAACCCTCCTGCCTCACTCTTCTAAGGAGCCTGAGGATGACACTGGACCCACTGATGACCCAGGGGAGCCCCAGCTCGAGAGCCTCAGTCACTCTATAAGATCCCTCTTGAGATGAGGCCACACGTCCACAGCTCTCGGGGATCAGGAGATGACATCTTTGGAGGCCATTCTTCAGCCTCCCACACCTATGTATGTATCCTTGGCAAGAGGGTCAGCTCTGCCTGATTCAGCAAGTTGTTACTGACCTCTTGCTATCATCGTGTGGACCTGAAATGTCCCTCAAATGCCTACTTGTTAAAGGCATGGTCCTCAGCCTGGTGCTACTAAAAGGGGGTGGAGTCTTTAAGAGGCGGGGCCTCATAGGAGGGACTAGATCATTGGGGGCACATCCTTGGAGGGAAATATGGGACCCTGGTCTCTTCCTCTCTTTCAAGTCCCGGCACCATGAGGTGAGCAGCTACCTCTACCACATCATCCCACCAGGCTGTGCTGCCTCACCACAGGACCAAAGCAATCATGCCAACGCACCATGTATGAAACCTCTAAAACTGTAAGCTCAAATAAACCTTCCCTCTTTTTAATTTGATTATCTCAGGTATTTTGTGATAGTAATAGCTGACCTCATACACCTGCCATGGAGCAAGAATGTACTAAGGTCTGAATATTCAGATACAGAATCAAAAATGACTCTGAGCTTACGGGGCTCAAAGATGAGCAAAACCAGTCAGGGCTGGTGAGGGTCAGAGATCATGACCAGACACAGGTTAGAGACTTTTGGTCAAAACCAGCTTCTAGACAGACTCTCACCCATGAATATATATTTTAGGCCCACTCAGTACTTGCTATTTATTAGAATTAGGGAGATCTGTGAGGTTATAAACACTGTCCTGAAATACACCTCCTTCTAAAAGACCAAGAAAATTAATTTCTTATAAAAATGAGCAAGGAGAAAAGATACAGTGTTTTCAAATATGCCCATAAATGCTCTGATAATACTCTCTTCAAAAGATGGAGCATGATTCCATCTCTCCATAAGCGTAGGCTAGGCTCAGTGACAGAATATGGAAGAAGTAACCATACACAACTTTGGAGGTTAGGTCATAAAAAGCACTGCGGCTTTCCTTTTTATTCTCTCTAGGATCACTCCCTCTGGGGGAAACCAACTGCCATGTCATGTGGATGCTCAAAGGGCTATGAGGAGACCTCAATGATGAGGAACTGAGGCCTCCAGCCAAGAGCCATGGGAGGGAACTATTCTCAGAATGGATCCTCCAATCCTAGTCAATAGCAGCACCAGGCAACATCTTAACTGTGGCCCAGGACAAACCCTGAGCCAGGAACCCTGCTGCTCCTAAAATCCTGATCCACATAACCTGCAAGATAATAAATAATTTTCTTTTAAGCAACTGTGTTTTAGGGTGATGTAGTAAAACAGCAGTAGCTAACACGTACAAGCAATCAAATCCCATTCAGAGTTAGGAGAAGACGGGATAACGTGCCCACAGGCTCCCCAGGAGAATAGAAGTGGAACAAAACCGTGACCTACTATTTCAAAGCTCTGTAAGAACATGACATGACCCATATGATACCCCACTAGTATGTAGAACTAAAATGCACTCCTAGAAAGATTTTTTAAAAGATAGAAAATCATCTTAAATTGGGATCAGAAAATCTCACAAGTGAGGTGTTAAAACTCAGAAGTGTACTAGAAATGAAAGAAAAAAACATATTCGATGAGGTAGGGGGTGAAAACCAAGGGCCCAGCTCATAAAACAGAAGTGAATGGAATGTTCATAGGGCAGGGGGCAGGGGCAGGGTGAGAAGGCAGCTGCTCAGCGGTCAGGGCCCATGAGGGACAGCGTCCAAGTGAGGCTGTGGCCCCATAGAGTTGGGAGATGAGTCAAAGACTGAGCAAATCAGTAAATACAGGGAGGGTTATTTTTATCACTGTTTGTGAAGGATACCCATGTGGGGGTGGGGGGGAGGCTAGCACAGACCTTGGGGCATCTGATTGGAATTAGAGATATCAGTTACCAATCCTCATAAATATGAAAACAGATGTGAATGCAAACCTGGGTGTGGGTGCAGACACCACACACACACACACACACACAAACTGCCCAGCGCTCCACTGACTCCCACAGTATGAATTAGCACAACGAGGACCCAGAACGTGGCTCCTAAATGCCATTTCCACCCAGAAGACTGTGGATGTGGCTCAGTGGTTTTGCCCCCCTGGGTTCCATCCCCAGGACTGATAAAGATGCAATTGCAAAATGTTTTAAATGCTAAAAATCCTTAAAAGTTTACCTCCTGACATTTCCCATTAAAATCCCAATGACATTCTTCATAGAAATAGAAAAGGCAGTCATGAAATTCATCTGGAAAACTAAGAGACCCAGAATAGCCAAAGCAATCCTTAGCAAGAAAAGTGAAGCAGGAGACACCACAATACCACAC